TATTAAATAATAAAACCTGTTTTCTTATTTGTAAAATCAAACAGTACAGTGTCACATTTTTTTGCCTTATTTGTATTTATTAAATACTATATCATCTTTGTTTATAATAATAATAGAATCAATTACTATTATCTAATTCTTTTCTCTCAAACTTTCATTATATTTCATTTGTAAGAATGTTCTGTGAAAAGCATGAAGAATACAAAAATAATTGCAAAGTTCAAAATGCTACAGATGATTTTGTTATTCTAACAAGTTATGTGAAAAACATTAGTATTCAGGTTAGTTTTTATTATCCTTTGACTTTGATTGTACTTTTGAGTTTGCTATCATACAGTGTATATTATCTAACTTTATAATTTTTACTCTATTATTTAATACTTTTTAATAGTCTTCTAAATCAGTTGCATTATAATTAAACCCTTCGCAAGCTAAATATGAACTTCTACAAATTAACTCACTGCAAGCTGATCCTTTATAATATGAGCTTTTATAAGATGATTCTTCATAAAATAATCCTTCATCAGTAGAATCCTTAGAATTAATATTTGGTCTCACTTTCTTAAGCTAGGACGATTTTAAGATTTAGATAAGTAAATTTGTATTAAAAGAAGGTTTTGATCATAAGATCAGGATAAGTGAAAAAGATCAAATTGAGATAATATAAAGGGTTATATACAAATGTACTAAGTCTAGCTCTCATAATTCATTAGCTAGCTCAGATCTAACTAGGTCTGATGCATTTAACTGATACTCATTTTACTGACAGTCATTTTACTGATAAACACCTTACCAACATGATCATTTTATCAATAAACACTTTATTGACAATCATTTGACTGACATATTTGTTTGACTGACACATTCATTTGATCGACACATTGAATATTAAGTTTATCTTTATTATGAATAGAAGGCACAACTTCATAAATAATATTATTCATTAAAAAAGTTAGATAAAAATAGTTAAGTAAAAAAATAGAAAAGAGAAGAGTTATTTGATCTATGTTAAATAAGGGCTATCCTTAAATAATTAATATTTAGTTGTTGGTAAAATGATCATATTAGTAAAATAATTATGTCAGTAAATTGATCATGTTGGTAAATTGATCATGTCGGTAAAATGATCATGTCGGTAAAGTAATTATAGGTAAAGTAGTTGTTAGTATAATGATTGTGTTGGTAAAATAATCATTAGCAAAATGATCATTAGCAAAATGTTTGTCAATTAAATTAACAGGTCCCAATCTAACTAGATGCTGTAATGCTTAATATTTACGGACTCTCTGTTCTTAGAAACTTAACATCATTTATCCAAAAATAAGTAGCATTATAAAGATTAATTCATTCAATAGTACCCATAACTATCTACTTACACCAGCAATTTGTGAAATAAATTACACAAACCATGTGAAATAAAGAAGATTATATGACGAAATGTATTCAAAAATAGGTGTTCATTTTATACAAACAGAAGAACTTCTTGTTTATTGTCAAGAAAAGCATACAAAGTTAGAAAGTTTATTAGATGATAAAGATTTTAAAATAGGCTTCCAAGTATGATTATGACAACAAGAATCAGAATCACATTCTCTTAAAAATCTAAAAATATACATTGAAGAAACATTGTTTTCTAAATTAATAGACCATATTAAAAAAGACATGATTTCTGAGAAGACTTGTCAAAACTATATACATTTGTGAGGATACAAGTATGATAAGAAGAAAAAGGGAGTTTATTATGATAGATATGAGTGATCAGATATAGTAATATATAGGAAGGAATGGTTGAAAAGAATGTTTGAATATCAAAAATATATGAAAAATTTTGATGGTAATATGCTGGATATTATTTTAGAACCCCAGCTTAAGTTAGAAGAGAAAGAGTTAGTCTAAGTGACACATAATAAATGCCATTTTTATACAAATAACAGACAACAAAAGATCTGGATGAGAGAAAATAAAGATATTCTATGATCAAAACACGCAGAATGCTCTATTATGGTTTTAACTTTCCTTTATTCATATCATAAACTATTACGATTATCTGAAGAACAACTAAAAGTAAATCCAAATATTAAAGTAAAGAAGCCTTTATTCTTCATTCTATACAAATGGATAGATATTAAAAAGTTAGAACATATGTTGGATCAGGTAGGTTTTTCTTATAGACTTAATGTTAAAGTATAAAGTTTTAATAATTAATTTTTTCATTATAAACATAGCTTATAAATTAAGTAATTCCAATATTTGAGATATTGCATTCTGGTTGTATCAGAGTTTTTTGTTTTGATTAATCTATAAACTATAATACAATAGCAGCTGATACATTAATTTCAATGAGAATGAATTTAAGTTCTGAAAAAATGCAACTTAAGATGTGCGATGATTAGTATACTGATAAAATCAGAGAAAAGTGTATATAATCAATAATATTTTCAGATGATCATCAACTAAAAGAACAGCTGAAGGGTATCAGACAAGTACTTAAAAGACGTAATCTTTGGCCAACGAAGAGTACTCGCTTGTGTGTAAACAGTATTCTGAGAAATATGACAATGTTGATTCAAAAAGGCTTGATTATTATATATGACAACTAATATCACTATAACCTAATTTTCATAAACAATGTTCAATATTAGAAAAGGTAATAATTAAAGCAAACCATATTTTCGAAAGATATCCAAAATTTTATTATGAGTGTAATTTCATAAAAAGATACTGGGGTTTTGCAAAATGGGAGACAAGACGGTTATGCAAATATAATTTTACTAACTTATTGATATAGGTTTTAAAAGTTCTTATTAGTGTTCTTATAACAACAATTCGTAAATTTACATACAAGTTTTGAAGATATATGAATGCATATAATAAGGGCTAGAAAGTAAAACTGCTGAGTGGACTGTTAGCAAATATAAATCACATCATCGCTTATCTGAAAATATTGAAAAAATCATGGATCAGTTAGATGATAAAAATAATATAATAATAAATAAAACTAATACTTAGCTGCTTTTATATCTTCTATAGCAATGTTCATGTTGCTAAAATCTATTTTAACTCAAATATTATAAGAATTACAGTAAAAAAATAATTAAAACACATTTTATTATCACTTTTTTTCAGTTAGTTACACAAAATTTGATCATTTTTTATTGGCTGATATTATTTCACGTGATATGTGATCAGCACTAGAAATTTGAAACAAAGTCACGTGATTGTTGAGTATAGATTTCTGACACCATACAAAAAATTATAATTTAGTTTAATTTTTTTATTAATTAATAATTATAATATAAATTTTATTTTTTTAAAATAATTAACCAATGCAATAAGATTTGTTTTATTTAATACTTTTAATTTTAATTTTATATATATATAAATAATTAATTACAATATATTTTTATTAAAAAATAATTCTTTTTATTATTTTTTATAATATTTAAATTTTGTTTTTATATATATTAATTTTTTATTTTTAAATTTATTAACAAAAATAGTTTTTTATTATTTAATTATAATATCTGTTCATCTTTTTAAAAAGAATTTTTTTTTATTAATAATTGTAATTTTTCAAATTTCATTTATCTAAATTATATTAATTTAATATTATTTTAATTTCAAAAAATTAATTATTAAGAATATTAATATTCAATATAATATCTATTTGAAATAATAAATATTTAAACATTAGTACTTAAAATATTAATATTTACAAATAAATATTAAGTTTAAGCTAACAAAATTTTTATAAAAATATAAAATCATAAAACAAAAAGCAAAAATAAAATAAATAAATTTTCAATTTGATAGTATTAGAGTATATGTTATAATGAAAATAGTAATTATAGTTGGTGATACGAATCTCGGACCATTATCATATTGAAAAACAAGTTACAAAGATTATTGTTAGTTTAAAATAAACCTATAAATAGGATCTTCCTAAAATTTAAAATTTTTTTTTTTTTTACAACTACAAACTAACTAATTAGTTGGTGCAATGTATCTCCTGAGAATCTGTTTATTTTATATTCTTTTTTTTTGTTTTATTTGAGTTCATAGGTCATTTTTTAATAATATAATTTATAGTAAAAAATTTTTTCGGTACAGGAATTAAGTTTTCGACTGATGAGCATCTGAAGATGAAAAAAAGTAAAGGTTATTTTTTTTTTCTTACTCAGTAAGATATCTTATATTATAGTATCGGAGTAAAATTTTTTTTTTCGTATTCGTAATCGATAAATCGATTCTATTAAAATATTTGTAGTGATTGTAGAAAGACTGTTCAAAAATGGGAATGGATAAAATAAGAAGGCATGATGAGAACATCAATTTGTCAAATTGTGATGTTAAATCTTTAATTTACTTTACGTATATTAATTTCTAATTGAAAAGTTTGTTTTATTTATATAGTTTTTTTTTCACACCTCTAAGTATTTCAGTTATAAATAAAGTTACATATGACTACTGTAAAATCAGTTGAACTCCAAACGTCTCACCAAATATAAAAATTTTTTTCCTTTATCCTTTATGAGTTGTTTCTCTCCGGCTAACACACCGGCAAGCTTGTGTCCTATAAATATTTTACAATAGTGTTCCTCTCTTAATTATTAAATCTTTAAAATTCCTTTTGAACTTATATTATTCACCTTATAACACCTTTGAAATATTTAACGACTTCCTCCCAACAGTCGCAAAATTTCCTCTTGATTTCCTTTTTTCCCTTTTTTTTTTTTTCTTTTCTTTGTAAATAATTTTTTTTTTTTTTTTGTATTATTATTTTCTTTTCTTTTTTTTTTTTAAAAAAAAAAACATTTTGTCGAAAAAGTCATCGTATACTTTTGCTTTTGGTATAGAAAGGATTATTTGTATTTGTTTTATTAGTATACGTTCGTGTCAAAAAAAAAGGTATTAGCTATTAAAGTGAAAACGGGGCAGTTAATTTTAATAGGTATTCAAAAATAAGAGTGTGTAACGGAAACGCAGAACGAATTCATAAAATGTCGTGTGAGGAATTGGCTGAAGCGGAACCTCAACAGACAACCTCAACTAATAAGGAGTCGCGAGAAAATACTCCTATATCTTCTACTGCCCCCAAAAAATCCGCGTCTCATCCTAACCTTCAAGCTCAACAATTACAAAACGAACAGAACTCGAGTGCTGAATCTAGTCAAGAAATAAAAATGAATTTAAGTCGAAGGCAACAAAAAGATAAAAATGATAAAGACATTTTAAAGTCTAACAATGCTTGTCAAAGCGTGTCAGACAAAGACATTATCAATAATAACAATTCGACTAGTAACAGCAACACATTAATTAATTCTGATGGTATAGATGAAAATTCAAATGGTTCATTTAATCATAATATAAGTGTTGATGATATTGATCATGATTCATTACAAGAAAATGGTATTTCAATTCCTCGGAGACAAAGCATGAATGATAATTCTCAAAGATCGTTGAAATCCTATTCTATGCATCAACGTCACAATTCGACTCCAAGTAGTTCTTCAGTTAACATTACCACTACGAATGCCAGTATTTCTTCTTCACCTCCATCTCCATCTCCGTCATCATCATCAACATCAAATGATAATAGCAGCGATAACATAAATTCAACCGATACCAACAATAACGCGAGCACAAGTGCCACAACAACGCCCACAAACACAACTTATTCCAATATTAACATGTCATCACCAATGTACGAAGAAATGCCCCAATTACCATATCCGAATATGAATCCAAATGCTCCTTTTATGCCCGCTCAGTCCCAATACTTTACTCCTCCATTTTTTCCAAACAATGGACAATACTTTTATGACAACAGATTTGGGAGGCCGCCTCCTCAAATGCCTCCTTCAGTACAACAAACATTTGTTAGATCAAATGTTTACCCTTATCCCCAAATACCTGTTATTCCTTCAATGCCTCCTCAACCTTATCATAATCCTTCCCCTCTAATTCCTCATCAGTCTCTTCCCTCAAGATACCTTAATCCTTCTAGTGCAACCGGGGGTGATTCTGGTTTTTCTTCTCGTAGAAGTTCTTTGGATCAAATTAGAACTCCGGATTTTAGTCCCCAACATCCTCCCAGGATAAATCAGCAAAAAAAACCTAAACAATTGGATAAAGCCCTTTGGGTTGGAAATTTACCTGATTCGACCACTCAAGATGAATTAAAAGAATTTTTCGCAGATGAGAACATGGAGGTAAGTTATTTATACTTGTGAGTTAAAATTTTTTCTTGATTAAATAGTTAACAGTTGATCATTTTAATTATAATAATTTCTAGAGCGTATTCCATATTAAGAAGTCTAATTGTGCCTTTGTGAATTATAAAACATATGAAGCTGTTATGGAAGCTGTAGATAAATACAATGAAGCTGGTACGATCTTTGAGCAAAACACTAGTTTAGATTAATCTTATATTTAGAATTTATTATTAACCTAAATGATTAATTCGCATCAGAGTTTAAGGACATTAAATTGGTTTGTCGTCCAAGGAAGGTAAATACGCTTTTACTTTTTTACTTACCAACATAAATTATTTAAATTAACAAGTTTGTGCTTTAATCTGATTCTCAGCAAACTTCCGCTGATTTAAAATTGAAAACCGAATCCTTGTCTGCACTTGTTTCGGAAAGCACTCCTCCTCCTACGCCTTCAGAGGCTGGCTCAACGGCGTCATCTTCCACTAGATCTCGCCGTTCATCCGTACCACCACGTCAACGAATTCGACAACCGTCTATTGCTTCCGTGTCTCCGGCTTCTTCTGTTTCTTCCTCAAAACCCTCTTCACAAAATAGGTATTTCATTCTCAAATCATTGACTCAAGATGATCTTGACATTTCTGTTAAAAGTGGCCTTTGGGCAACGCAGCCTCATAATGAAGCAGCTTTGAATAAGGCGTTTAAGGTAAATTTTTCGAGTATCCATAAAGATATATCACCTTCGTTTGTAGTTGAAATATACAATTAACTGACCTATTTACACTAATATAGAGTGCCGAGAACGTATACCTAATATTTAGTGCCAATAAGAGCGGTGAATTTTATGGTTATGCAAAGTATGCTTAATTAAGTTCTGTTTAAAGTCACTTTATGATTTTTATGTTAATATTTTATTTTACAAACATTATCAGAATGAAGAGTCAGATTAGTAAAGAGATGACGACCGAGACAGTACAATGGACTCCGATTGACGAAGCTGCTTTAGCTGCTTCTTCTTCACGTCCTTCACCTAATCAAGATGAAAAGTCACGAAAAAAATCTCAAGAAGAAGAGAATGAAGATTTGGAAGATGACGCTATTCCATCTAGGAATTGGGGGACAACCTTTAGAGTAGAATGGATTAAAGTGTATGTTCCTTATTTCTTATAATTGAAAATACTTTTCGTAGTTTAATGCGTTTTTTTATATTTAAATTAGTCAAAAGCTTCCTTTTATTCGTACGCGTCATCTTCGTAATCCATGGAACGCAAATCGCGAAGTTAAAATCAGTCGCGATGGTACCGAAGTTGAACCAGTTGTTGGAGACCGATTACTTACCGAGTTCCATAAACCAACTCCAACTATCCCCGTATCATATTCAACTATATCTGGCCCTTTATTAACTCAGCCATTGAATATTGATGGTCAAGGTGTGGTTGTCGAAGGACAGGATAGGTATTTAATTATTGCTTAATCGATTGTATTAAGGATCAATTATAAGACGGTACATTTTACGAAACCTTTTTTTTTTTTTTTACTTTTAGAATGTTGACTTCTCATAATGGTGCGCAAACTCAACTACCGCCAATGATGGATCCCAATTTTATGCAAAACGCTCAACCTGCCTTTTTCACTCATCCTCAAGGGTATTGGCACCCACAACCTCTTATAATATCTCCATATGGAGCACCTGCTCATCCGGGTTATGTTCCAAGTCAACAAACTTGGACGACTACTACAGCTAAAGATTCATCTGTTGGTATTACTCGTGCACAACCGACTCAACCTTCAACAGGTGTAACTGGTTCTGCCGCGATGACACCGATAATGCCTTTAGATCAACAATACGTGGAGGTAATATGGGTAAATATGGCCACAAGAGTAGAACCTGTGTGGGGTTATATACATAGAAATCACAAATATATTATTAACCTTGCAACGAATTATCTCTCATTGAATTTCTTATATTTGTATAGGGAATTCCACAGCATCATCCTTCACATTACCAGTCCTCTGCTCATCACCTTTATCAATCTCCCGCTGCTGGTACAGGAGTTCATTACCAGCAAGCACCACCACAGCAATACTATAGATCTTCAGATGATAATAATCATATAGATGGTCATATGTCATATCAAGTATCATCGCAGCAGCAACAGGATCAAAATATGGGCAGTGATCAAGAAAATGAATCCCATATGATGTCTTCTTTTCTCATGGAAGAGCAAAGACAAAGTTTTGAAGCTAGTGGTAGTGCATAGACAATAGCAATATATTGGTAGTATCGTTTTTCTTTTTGTTCATAAAGGTGTTAATCATTATGCATTTACTTTTATGATCAAAATATTGCTTTTGTACTTTATTACTTCTCAATTTTTATTTTTTGTAACTTAGTGATTTGTGTACAATATGTGTACAAACAGGTAGGTATTTTTCGGTTTCAAAAAAAATTTTTCTCCTTTAAATTTTGTTTGGTCAACTTTGTGTAGTTTTTTGTTATTATTCGTGTAAGTTTGATATTGTATTCTTTGTCTTTTTCAATTAAAAAATTTCTTTTTATTTGTATTTTAAAAATTCCTTAGATCCAATCTTCATTTTTATTCAATGTTCTTTTTGTGGTACTACTTTTCTCCTTTTATCCGTCCCTTTCTTATTGTTTACCTTCCAATTTGCTTTTACTCGATTCCAAAGATGAAAGTATAAATTCGCTAATAGTTATTTTATTTATTTTTTTTATCTTTTGTATAAAAAAAATTACGTTCTTTTTTTCCTATTGTCAAAGATTTTTCTTTAATGATATTCGTATAATTTAGTAAGTATATGTGTAACATTAGCCAAAAGTGTTAATGATAGTTATGAGAAATTGACTAGTATTTTTTTGTCAGTAGACGGTAATACAAGAAATTATTATTATTTCTATTTTTTTGTTAATGTAATTTACCTTGGTAAATTAATTTTTTAAAAAAAATTAAAAAATTAAATAAATATTAAAGAATTGAGAAGTTATAAAAATGCCTTATATATATATTTTTGTTGATTTTTTTTTTTTTCAATTTTAAAATCATATTGGTAACAACGAATACATTGTAGTATATACATTATTTTTGAAATGTATAAACAATCTAGTAATAGTATCATAAAGTTAAAATTTAAAAGTATATGATCATACTTAATCAATATAAGTTATAAAAACCAAATCATTGATACTTCTATTTTGACTTTTTGAATTCATTTTCTGCTTTTTTCTATAATATAAATGTTATAATATCTGTTTGATAAATCTAAAATAAAATAAATAATCATAAAAATTAAGATAAAAAAAAACAAAATCTTTATATATCATCTTTAAATTCAATAATAATCTTATTAATTCCAAATTTTATATAATATAGCTAATCTAGAATTCTTTTGTTATCAAATTTCAATAATCCTTAAATAATTATAATATACTATCCATAGAGTTTTGTGATTAAAACAGTCTAAAAAAAATCTACAATAATATTTTTAATAATTATGATATAATTAAATCTAAACTGTTTAAGAATAATGAAATATATTATATAATATCAATTTAATATAAATGCTGATTCTTTCATTACCATATAAAATATCTATATTAAATCATATAACTCATATTATATAAATTTTTAAAATTTTAAAATGTTTTCATAAACAAATATAACACTTTATTATATTTTAATAAAAATTTTCTAAATTTTGAAATATTATCATATGTTCTTTTATAATTCTTATATGTATTCTGTTTTAATTATAAATCTGTAAGTAAACTTATTATTTAATATATATTAGCTATAGAAATTTATTATTTTATATTTATTTTAATATATTTAGCTTGAAATTTTATATATAAATATAATAAAATAAAAATTTAAAATTAAAAAATTTAAATTTTTAAAAAATATGTTTATTTTTTTAAAATATTTATCAAATTAATAAAAAATTGATTTATAAATTTTTAATTAATAAATATCAAAAATTTACTAATATATATAATCATTTTATAATAGAAAAGAAGAAAACTATTAAAAATTTTTAAGTTAATATTAAATATGAATTTATTTTAATAAACAATAATATTTAACTTATAAAGTAAAAAAAAAAATTTTTATAATTTTTTTTCTTTTTACTACAAAATGCTTATTGTAAAGTGTGCTTTATAGTACTCTGAATATTTTCATTCTACAAAAAATTTGGGATACTAATAATCAGAGAATACTACCCTATAAAAAATTTGCATATGTTTTTTCATTATTATAAATAAGTTTTGTATATGTTTTTTAAAATTCTGTATCACATTTCCTTATATTTTATAAGGA